GAGGGGATTGAATCTGAATCAGAGGGTTACATTGGGTTTGATTTTCTGGGTTGACTACTGGTTCCAATGGAAGTTCTTTCTGACAGAAGTGGCTGGGTGATTGATTGACGGGAATCAGGTGAGGGTTGAATCATTCCAGATTGCTTCATGGGGGTAGTGACTCTTGAGGATTGACGGGTTTGCACCTCTGTGGCATCACTTAAATTGCCAGACTGGTTTGACATGGAAGATTGGGTTGGTTGGCTCGACATGTTGACCTAGATTTTGCACTTGGTGGTTGTTCTTGGGGTAAGCAGGTTGATTGACTGATTGGAGTTGGCTGTGACGGTGGTTGTTGTTTGGGTGGTAAGTGAGTCAATTGTTGGATGAGAGTTGGCTGTGAAGTGTCAGGTCCAACTGGCTTGCGCGGCCCTCACATTTCTTTTGTCTCACCCGAAAAAATTTTCACCTCCCGGGGCCCAAACCACATGCACCCTGCCCCAACTGGGTGCATCACACAAACAGACCAGTGGAGACTCTTCACTCAAAAGAAAAACAGAACTGCCAATCAACAAAAACTCAAAGAATAGAAAATCCAAAAGTTCTAAAAGTGGAAAAAAATAACAAAATGCAACAATAACAAAACAAAAAAATGACAAAATATAAAAATCCAAACATAAAGGAAAATAAAAACCAAAATAACAAATGGAACAACTGACCAATTACCTAAAAAAAAAAAGCAAAAAATGTTGGGAAAGGCCTGTGCAAGCATTCACAAGCAAATTGTGAATCCAAAAAAATCTAAAATAACAAAATGATACCACATCTCAATCTGTACCCCTTTCAAAATCTCAATCCTATTGTTTAACATTTATTATATCAGCATACACACATCTCTCTCACCCTGCTTTTTCAACCTTAATCTAAAATCTATATTATTTCATCAAATTCCAACAACATGAAGAAATAAAGAAGGAATGGTACAAAATTCATCCATAAGACATTGGATCAAATACTCAAAATACTCAATATTCTTGAATTTAAATTGAGATTGTGCATGCAGTGTTTCATATTTCAGTAAATCTGCAGATGATAAAAAAATGTTTCATCACATCAGTCATGAAAGGTTGAGGGAAAAATAGTTGAATTATTCATATGCTCCCTGAATCCTCAAATTTTAATGAATTCAGTATGCATTCATGGAAAGGTAAATTATCATTAACAACAACAATACTGAGGTCATGAATTGATGTAGGTACTGCTGTTTCAATAATATTATGAATTTCACATAGCATATGTTAGATCAAGATTCAACTTCAAGTATTTGAATCTCCATTCAAATACTTGATAAACACAGGTTATAATGATAAGTATTTTACCATTAACTGCAACAAATATACTAGTTAGTTCATGATGTAGGTACTGCTGTGAATCATAATATCATTATAAACTGTGAATCTTGATGAACAGAGGTTATTGTGAATTATACTATCATCAATTGCAACAATAAAAAAAAATGATGTAGGTATTCCTGTGGATCATGTTCACATTAATTATAACTGAGCACACCTCTAATGCATTCTTGGTGCTCTGAGACTGAACACAGATTACAATAAAATTTTGGTGGATATTTGAAGTTAAGCAATGACAATCTTGAGAACAATTTGCCAATTGTTCCTACATTATTGTATTCATTTATATGTTATCCTGAGTTAATTTCTCAATTTCTCTTCATATTCTATCCAAATAAATTGGCTCACTTGTATTGGACTCTTGAAGTTCTGAACACAGATTATGCTAAGACTATTGTGAATCTATGAAGCAATGACAATCTTTATGGCCACTTGAAAATTGTTCCTACATACTCATTCATATATACCCCTCACTGGTTAATTTTTCTCTGTAATCAATCTAAGAGATGAATTCCTTCATTAATTGAATAAACCTCATGAACAAGGTTAAACAAATATTTCAACTCAAAGACAGGGAAATGTGTCTTTTATTGGGTTTTTTACTTATAAAATTGCGTAATTGAAGCTACTACTTAAAAAAAAGAGAAAGGATAAAAATGAAGTAATGAAAAAAATAAAGCAGCTAATAAAGTTCCTTTTGCTAGACAACGAAACATATAATAAAAGTGATCACCAAAGTAATGAAGAGGGTCTTTATAATGACCTTTGGCTTCTTTTTGAACAGCATTAACAATAGAAGTAGTAATCTGAAGTGATAAAACAAGACGACTAAACTCTTTAGAACCAGATGGGGAGAAGTAAGGAAGAGTAAAATGTCTGTATTTTTTGGCTTGCCAAATCATTTTAACAATACCATGTTGTTTGTCAAAACTAATACCAGTATGGAAAGAAGGGAAAAAAAAAGGACGACCTTTAATATCATAACCAGATTCAGGACCAGCTAATTTGCCAGTAGCAGAGTAGATGGGAATAAACATAACAAAAGCCCACTTGGATATATCATTATGATCTTTATGAGGAGGATTAAAAAAATTATCTGTAGTGAAAGTGAGATGAGGTGAACAGGAATTGGGACTAGGCTTTTCACAGAAGGAAAGTGAATCAAAAGCTGGTAGATTGAAATTTTCCATAAGAGCATGGCTATGCTCAAATGCACAGGAAGACAAACCCCTATAATAATCACCAAGAATTTTGCCAAGATGTTTTGATTGTTGGAAAAGCTTATCAAACTTTTCCATCTTACTCGGAGGAAAAGCTTTGATATATCTTCCAAATTTTTGCATAAAGTCTTGAGACTTTCTCCAACCAATCTTCCACATCCTATCACCCCAAGAGTGTGTCAAAGAGCCAACAGGATTCATGAAGAAAAGTCGAGATGAAGTTGAGGTTTTCTTTATCATTTTCGGTTAACTGATCCCAAGGGGTGAACTCCATGACCGCAATGACTGAGTCTTCATCATTAGGATCCACAAGAACCACACGGCCAAAATTCATCAGGAAGAATTTGCCATCCACAAACTGACATGCCTTGGAAACTTCATTGGGGGTTGGATGTCAAAGAGGTTTCTCAGAAGGGACCGTTGGATAGAGACGTGTTTTCGGGTGATAGCTCAAATGTTTCCAGCGGATATATTTTAAGGTAGACATGTCGACGCCGATGACTTGTTCCTGCATGCATGCATGGAATGCCGACGTGAACTGTTTTCATGACTGATGCGGCAGCGGTCCGTGGTAGCGTTTTTCAGGGCCCCCACGATCACACACATTCCGACATTCATGAAAACAGATCAATGTAGCATTTTTACAAGAACCACAGAAGAGCAGGCACAAAACCAGCAGAAAGAAAAAGAAAAAGAAACAATAAAAATTAGTTTAGTTGGTAAGGAGGATTACACATCAAATGAAAAACATACCGGGTGGTTGGTGTGTGCCATTTTATTTGGTTTGATTGATTCACCAGTAGGAAATAATCTAAAAAGATAACATGAGTGGGGGGTGGCTAGTACAGAAAGGGGGGAGGAAGATGTTTACCAGGGGTTGGTCTGACTAACTACACGTGAGGGTATCTTACACTGATCTTAGACGGGTAGCAGCAAATGACGGTGGGCGGGGTTCAAAGCATGAACGGTGAGGGTAGCTGGTTCAAAGAGGAGGGAAGGGTAGCTTGGTTATTTTACGGTTGGTAGGGTAGCTGGTCACAAGAGCAGGGTGGCTATGAAACAATTAATGAAAGGAGGGTAGCTTACACACAGATCTTAGACGGGTAGCAGCAAATGATGGTGGGCGAGATTCAAAGCACAAGCAGTGAGGGTAGCTGGTTCAAAGAGGAGGGAAGGGTATCTTGGTCAGTCTATGGTTGGTAGGGTAGCTGGTCATGAGAGGAAGACGAGGGTAGCTAGTGATCAACCATTCAATCAATCATTGATTGAATGATCAATCAATCGATTGATTAATCGATTGTTTGATTGATTAATCAATCAATTGATTGAACGGTTGATTAATCAATCGATTGATTGATTAATCAATCGATTGATTGATTAATCAATCAATTGATTGAACGGTTGATTAATCAATCGATTGATTGATTAATCAATCGATTGATTGATTAATCAATCAATTGATTGAACGGTTGATTAATCAATCGATTGATTGATTAATCAATCGATTGATTGATTAATCAATCGATTGATTGATTAATCAATCGATTGATTGATTAATCAATCGATTGATTGATTAATCAGATTAATCAATCAATTGATTGATTAATCAATCGATTGATTGATTAATCAATCGTTTGATCGATTCATTGATCAATAAATTGATTGATCAATACAAGAGGGTAGCAGGGGAGGGTAGCAGAGAGGAGGGTATCAGGGAGGAGGGTAGCAGAGAGGAGGGTAGCGAGGAGGAGAGGAGACTTACTCCTGACCAAAGCCAAGGAACAAAGAGGGTAGCTGGGAGGTAGGGTACAAAGATGGGCCTGGGAGGGATAATGAAGAGGGTTAATGTTAGTATGGGGTAGTAAGATGATGGGGGAGGTTCACTTACCGGTTGTTGAATCAATCCTTGTGGCTGTTAATCACTGGAAAGAGGTGTGTGCAAGCAGCAAGTGAGGTGAGTAAAGTAGCAGGGTGAGTGTTGAGTGGTGTGTGTCAGAGTGGTTTGGGAGTCAAATTTCATCAACCATCCTGAAAAAAAAAACTTATGAGGGGGCTAAAAGTGGAGTGACCCCCATGATGAACAGAAAAAAATCAGATGAGAAATTGGGGGGATGGGAATCTAAGCCCTCAACCACTGGTTCCCTTCAGGGTAGCGTTAGTCACACTACGGACAAATAGGTGTCGCTGCGGCCCGCAGCGTCACCCGGACGTTTCAATTCAAACTGCATCCTCATGCTACGTCACCAGAAGCGACAGCTCACAGCATGCAGCGACAGATTAGTCTTTGATAGATTTGACCAGCGAAGCCCGTTCGCCCTGACTGGCCATCGAGAAGCCTTCAAGACTGTTGCACACCTTGATCAGCCGATTCTCCCTGAAGAACGCACCAGCAACCCCGCCCCCGCCCTCGCCGCTCCCAAATCCTATTTCCCAAAACGCTTTGGCCTTCAACTTCCTCTTGGGATTTGCCGATGCCAAGCGACGGGCCCGAGAAGAGCGCCGGTGGGATGCTCCCGCGTTGTTGGGAACTTACATCGACACTTTGCAGGAGATTTTTGAATAGCGTCTTGTTTAATAGATATAACTGCTCAGGACTGGCATACCTGGCGGATTCTGGAAACAATCCGCCAAGAGTCTGTAGGAATTATCAGAAAATTGCGAGTCGCTTTGAATAAGTAATCGCTGTTTTATTGAAGTTGAAAGGTAGGTGGAGGTGACCAACGTAGAGGATTGGTTGAGGGACTTTTGGACTACTCAAGACCTCAAAACCAGATAGCTTCCATTCCCCAGATTGAGTGATAAAGACCAAGCCAACTGAGAGTCAGAAATAACACCTAGCGGAGTACTCATTCTTCCTCGTCTGAGGCATGTACTTGAGATCTTATCACTCAACTACCGCCTCTTACAAAACCAGGAGACATCTGGTGGCTCGCGAGCACCAGAAAGCTTTTATAGACACTCGCTTTCAAAACTTGATCAATGTGCGATCTTTTACATACATGGCGGAGAGAACCCTTCTTCCGATTCACATCTCAGCGGAGCACTCCTCAATATGATAGTTCAAATTTCTCTGTAATCAGATACATGGATTGATTCATATAACAAAAAAAAACCAAAAAAAAACTACAAATAGATGTGAGAAGATGATCAAAAGCATGATTAAATGTATCTCAAGATAAAAAAAAGGGAAGATATATCTGTTGTAAGAAGGAGGAGGAGGAAGAACACACAAAAAAAGGATGCTTGGACTCATGTATGAAAAAAGAAGTGTTTATATGAGATGGGGCAGAAAGAAAGTGATTAATTAGAGATAGCATGATAGAAGCAAATGGGAGGATGAGCAGTGGAGCTGATGCAAAGAGGATCAGAGACAAGAGCGCTGAATGCAGCCAGAGATAGAGCAAAAGATAGCGATTCCACGAGCGAAGGAGGCGAGTGAGAGACTAGCGGCGGCAGCCCAGGCAGCGGTCTGTGGGAAGGGGAAGACCGGGTTGCTCGGCTTGAGATGGTCGAGCAGGCTGGCTTGAAGCGAGTCGATGGCCCAGGACCAAACGATAGATTGACAGGATCGAGGCCGCCTTTGCAAGCGAGTCGCACAGATACAAATGCACATCCAGGATCTTGCTCACTAGCTCGTTTGTCGTTCGGTAGCTGAACTTCACCTCCGCTAGCGCTGGCGTCAATAGTCCATCCACCCAGTCATGTAGCTCTGAGATCTCAGCCATCCCACAACTCATTCCGTCCTCCACTTGGACGATTTCATCCCCTAATCGTCCAAGACCATTCCATAATCTGGAAAAAATCATCAACAAACAAAATTTTTCATCAGTTTTCTCGTTCTGCTAAATATTTTTAGAAGAGGTGGTAATCAACTGTGTACCTGTAGTAGTTGGATGGTGTTGATTGAGATGATTCTGAGTGATGAACGAGCTGAGCTTGTTGAAGTCACCGGAGAGAGCGTGGAACTGAGTGGCGTTAAGTTTGAACGAGGCCCTGGCCAATGAGGAGGCTAGCTCTGATGACCGAGACGGGCGGATTGGGGAGCTGTTCCCAAGCGTCGAACTGGTCGCGGTACTGGGTGAGTGCACTGCTGATCGACCGTCCTGGCGATGATCATCGAGTGCTTGCTGTCGTTGCGAGGGGGCTAGTGTCGTTGCATTTTCAACTTTGATTTGCTCGCACAACATCTGAATCTGCTGGGAAACGTCAGGTGACGCTGCGGGCCGCAGCAACAGCTATATGTCCGTAGTGTCATGTGGTCAGGGAGGAGCTCATTGCTTCTCCCTCACCACATGCCAGTGCAATCCTTTTGTGTCATGGGTTCAATTCCCACTGGAGATGATGTGTAGTTACGCTATAGATAAGCTACAGTTACGCTACATATGTAGCGTAACTTAGCTTAATTTCCTATGAGTTACACTAAATGTTAGCTGTACCAACAGTTACGCTTTTGGTCAGCGCAAATTTTGTTAGCTTGGAAAAAGTTACGCTACTTGTTATTTTAGTGGCAATTATTTCAAGCTAACACTAAAAAAAATTCAAGGGAAAAATTTCACACTACGCTGGCAGTTAGCTCAGCGGTGTGTAGCGTGAACTAACACTACAGGATTTCCAGAAAAAAAAAACCACTACGCTAACAGGTAGTGGCCAAATAGCGTAGTGTAGCATAGCGGCCCACCGTTGCTTGTACAGTGGGTAGACAGTGAAAAGTGGCTGCTTATTTTGGATTCCAGAGCTCCGAAACACATAATTGAACTCATGAGACTTGGTAAAGTGGTGCATAATAGTTTCCAAAAAATGAATATGAAAAAATATAAACAAAAAATGAATATGAAAAAATATAAACAAAAAATAAAGTTTCAAAATTTTTGAAAAATAAAAAATAAAATGGATTTTTTTCAAAAGCTTTGATATTCATTTTGGGGGCGTGGGAGTGCTGAGAGAAAGAAAGAATGGAACATGGGGAGAATGATTATAATGAAAAAAAATTTGAACCAAAAAAGGTTTGGCCAGGTTGGTTGTTCAGATGGGAGCCAAAAAAGTAAATTCTAGTGCTTTACTGCAATGTGGGCTGGTGAATGCCCCACTCAACAGCTGTTTGCAAAGCCATCTGGAAACCAATTTTCCAAAAATTTCATTTATAATCATTCTTCTAATATGCCAATCTTCCTTTCTCTCAGCACTCCCACTCCCCCAAAATGAATATCAAAGCTTTTGAAAGAAATCAAACAATTTTATTTTTTATTTTTCCCAAATTTTGAAACTTTTTTTTTATTTTTTTTTCATATTCATTTTTTGGGACCTATCATGCACCACCTGACCAAGTCTCATGACTTCAAGTTTGTGTTTTGGAGCTCTGAATTCCAAAATAAGCAGCCACTTTTCACTGTCTACCCACTGTACCAGTTTTATCCCAGAGTTTTTACCATAAAAACTCTTACTTTTTGCACCTTGTGTAGCTAGAGGACACGTGTCTTGGCATCACATAGGCTGAAAGCGTAAATGAGGTTATCCTCCAATGTGGTGTGCTGTGCCTGATCCAATGCCAAAAGCATACAGCAGAGGTGTTAGGGTAGCATAGTTACATACATGTGACAGTCATTAAAAGAGAAGGAACAATCATTATGGATGAGTTGTGGTACATGCGGACAGGATTACATACTAGGAGTGGCGTGGGAGAACATATCCCAACCAGGAATGGCATGGAGGAGCCAAAGTATATACGTGGAGAGGAGTGGGAGAACATGTCTTGACCAGGAATGGAACAGAGGAGCAGTGTTTATAAGGGTACTTTACGTGTTACGTAAAGGTATGGGGTACAGATTGTAGAAAGTGAAGGGAGGAAAAAAATTGAGGCAGAGGCAACGCTGTCACAGATACAGTATCTGCCATGTATCACTATGTATCTGAGCCCCAATAAAAAAACCTATATGGCCAATCTGCTTTTATTTGCAAGGAGATTCAACAAATTTGGTTTTTGGCCATGCAGCTTTGCAGGATTCTCCATGATACATACAGTGTATTGTATCTGTGACAGCGTTGGCAGAGGGAGGAAGGAAGGAGTGAGGAGAAGCTTTTACGCCCAAATTCTGGATGCAAGGAGCTAGCAGCAGGCCTGGAAGCCTGGTACTGCCTAATACAGTGCCTATGCAGAATGTTCTGGAAGATGGCCTGGCTACATTGCAACTCATGGTATCATGCTGCACTTGTGTGCTCCCTTGCATGCATATTATGTGACAAGGTCTGGAGATAAGTTTTCCTAGCAAAGCATAAGCTGCACTATTTGTTTGGAGGCTTTGCACAAAGGCTGTGAAGGTGAGATTCCCTGCAGCAATATTCCCTCACAAGGAGTGCCCTGCAGCAGAAATCCCTCACTCTTCAATACAAAAGAAGGGCCTCTCCCCACCAGAAAGTGCCTTCTTCCCCATCAGCCTTCAGAAGTCTCTCAGAGCAGTAAGTTTGGTCCTTAGCTACCAGAAGTGTTCCGGAGTGTCAGTAAAGTGAAGATTTAGAGTTATTGTTAGTTAGTTAGTGAATTTAGTGCATCAACCTACAGCGGTAAGTTGGGCATAGTTAGTTAGTGAGTTAGGTAGTGAGTTAGTTAGTGATACGGAGCGAGTTATAACAATATTTTAAGCAATAAACTAACACAGAGTTCAGAATTTAAAGCATATTACATAGTAGTTATAGTAGTCATCATATAAGTTGTATTACATTAACAATTAACAATAAGTAGTATTATCACCGGAGCTCTAGTATTTGATTAAAGTGCCTTAGCAAGAAATTCTTTGAGGAAGAGATCATTAACAAAGTCTACAACAGCTCATCTGTTTTGCAAGCCTTCAGCACCACAGTTTTCATTATTAAACTGAAGTTGTAACAGATTTATTAGTAGATTGATATGTGATCTAGGTCTGATAGAGATTACTTTACAAAAGTAAGATATATCTTGGAATCAGTGACACATTATTACATATTGATTACAAGAATCTTAGCTATTTGTTTAGTACATTTAGAGGGGAAGGTCTTTCAAACCACCCGTAAGTTGTAATAGCCTTTCAAACTATTTGCAATTTATTTACCCCTCAAGGGATCTTTTTATATACATATACTTTACCGTTTCTCTCCATCCAAGGATTCCTACATCTTCTGTCACCATTGGAGGCAATGAAGGAATTGATGTTGAGCTATGCAAGACCAAAGCAGTTGATGTTAGCAATACTGGGTAAGCAAACACAGATCTTGCTGCCATCACAGGTTTTTTGGGGATCATCAACTTGTATGCGCCCAGCAAGGCTCTGGCTAGAACATTGTTGCCTTAGGATTGCACTTCTTTGATTTTTGTCCATATGTGCTCTTGTTCATCTGGTGGAATTAAAGTTTTGACCACAATTTCTTTTATAGTTTCCACAGACAGCACTGACATGATTCAAAGGAATCAGTCACTTGTTCACTTAATTTCTATTTCTATTTATTTATTTATTATTATGATTATTATTATTAGGGTCTTAGTTAAACAACTCCCAAATATTGGAGTTCCGACTCCCAAATATTTGGGACGTCGCTAAGACCCCCTGCAGATGGTCCACAGGCCTTCCACCCCTGGAGATGGGAGTCAGATCTCCCAAACTTTCAACAGGTTGGAGTCAATCATCCAAAAAAAAAAACCCAGGGGTTTGTGGAGTCGATCTTCAGAGGAACCCCTATTGGCCGAGGGGATTGTGGACTCTCACCGGCCAAGAGGAATCCCTCTCGGCCGATGAGAGTGTACACTCTCACCGGCCAAGAGGAATCCCTCTCGGTTGATGAGAGTGTACACTCTCACCGGGCAAGAGGAATCCCTCTTGGTTGATGAGAGCTATACACTCTCAGCGGTATAGTGTGCCAATTGTGTTTCAAGTACCAAATTGCATAAAGTCATGATCCACTCTTGATAATAGACTATATTATTAATTTTATTATTGCATATTTGAATTCTACATCAAATTTAACCTATAGTCAATCACTGGAACCAACGGTGGGCCGCTACGCTACACTACACTATTTGACCACTAACTGTTAGTCTAGCGGCCTTTTTTTTCTCTAGAAAATCTGTAGTGTTAAACACTGCTGAGCTAACTGTCAGCGTAGCGTGAAATTTTTCTCTCAAATTTTCTGTAGTGTTAGCTTCAAATAATCACCGCTAAACTAACAGGTAGTGTAACTTTTTTTTCACTAACAAAATTTTGACTAACAGATAGCGTAACTGAGTTGACGCTAACATTTAGCGTAACTGGTCTCACACTACACTACACTATATTATAAGCTACACTACACAATGGTGGACAAATGAAAAATTTCAAGTGAGAAAATAACACAAATGCATGCCTTGATGTGGAATTGAACACTTGACATGACAGGTTAGTAGCATCTCCAGACATCCTCCTTGTCCACATGACTAGCAGTACATGAGGAATGGGTCGGTGAGTTGAGGTTCAGTCAGCAAGAGGATGTCATGGACATGCCTGTGACATGTTCACTCCCTGGGTTCTGAGTTTGAACTTGAAGTTCAAGCAAGGGGAGATGGATGTTGGACCTCCAATCTCTTCCGATCCAAGCAAGACCCCATCAAGATTTTTCATCCTCATCCTCATCATCAACTTCATCAAAGCTCAATCTGATCTTAATCTCAATTAAATACTAATCACAACCACCTCCATTATATCCTCCAATCCAAAAGTCTCTTCAGCTTACTCCCTCTTCTGAAACTTAGGTCTCTCACTGGATTGCATTGGACTAACTTTAATCAATTTGATCTCAGCAACCATTCCATTTTAGTCAACATCATGGCTGACAAAGTTGTAGCCCTTGATGCCAGCTTTCCAACGAACCAAAAGTTAAGGAAATGCAAAAGTTATTGCTACTCAAAGTCAACCAGCAAAAATCAATTGCTTCCCCAAAAGGGAACAAACTAGAAGACTGCTACCCTGGCTCTGATGCTTGCTAACCTCCCCCCCTCTTTGATTTAGATACCCCCACACACATTTGCTTGACCATTGACTGTGGATTCCAACCAGGAGGGGCCAAAAAAGCGGTACAATTTCAAATTTGTGTTAAGCTTCCGCAGGTTGCTGATCTAATTTTTTGCTTCTTCTTACTCTTCCTGTTTCCCTTTCCTGCAGCTGGCCACTAAATGATGGAATAAATG